TTTTTATGCTTAAAAGCTACGTTAATTTTTAATAACCTTAATTTTTTCTTTAGTCTAATATTCTTGAAGCGGCATCCAAAAAATTCGAGCTGTTTTCCACTAGAGTCGCTAAATGCGACCATTCCAATGCAGCTCGCCTTACGAGCGACCTGCTGTCGGTAGTTTTTCCCAAACAGGAGTTAGCAATATCTTCTCTGACTGGTGAAGTCAGTCACTTTCAAATCCAACAAGGTGTTACACCGAAAAAACAATTGGATCCGATAAAAATTAATGCAATAAAAGGTAAATGCTTAATAATCGTTATTAATATATATACATACATACATATATATATACATACATACATACATATATATATATATATATATATATATAAGGTGTAGTAAAAAGAAATCCATTATTTTTCCAATAGATGGCTTTAGTAATGGGTATCTCGCGTTGTATAAGTGCGATCGGTTTACGCTAGATGGCGTTAGAAAGATAAGATTTCGTACTAAAAAAACTTCTCAGACAGTTTTATGATTGTTTGACTCAGTATTGTTTGAGCGCGCGTCAAAGATGGACACCAGCAAAGAGAAAATACGCCATATTTTACAGTTTTTCTTCGATAAAGGCGAAAACGCAAGCCAGGCGGCTGAAAATGTGAATAGTGTTTATGGTCCTGTTACTGTAACAGCCAATCACGCGCAATTTTGGTTTCGTCGATTCCGTTCCGGTAATTTTGATGTCAAAGATGCACCACGCTCTGGAAGGCCAATTGTCGAAAATGTCGATAAAATAATGGAAATCGTCGAGTCCGACCGTCATGTAAGCACTGTTTCGATTGCCCAGGAGCTAAACATTGCACAAAAAACCGTTTGGAACCACTTGAATAAGGCTGGATACAAAAAGAAGCTCGATGTATGGGTGCTATACGAGTTAACGCAAAAAAACCTCATGGACCGAATTTCCATCTGCGAATCGCTGCTAAATCGCAACAAAATCGACTCATTTTTGCAGCGGATGGTGACTGGTGATGAAAAGTGGGTCACTTACGATAACGTCAACCGAAAACAGTCGTGGTCGAAACGCGGTGGGCCGGCGCAAACGGTGGCCAAGCCAGGATTGACGTTCAGGAAGGCTTTACTGTGGGATTGGCAGGGAATCATCCACTATGAGTTGCTCCCCTACGGCCAAACTCTTAATTCGGACCT